GAGAGGGAGGGGGAGAGGAAGGAAATGAGAGGGAGGGGGAGAGGAAGTAAATGAGAGGGAGGGGGAGAAGAAGGAAATGAGAGGGAGGGGGAGAAGAAGGAAATGAGAGGGAGGGGGAGAAGAAAATGAGAGGGAGGGGAAGAAGGAAATTGGAGAGGGGGAGAAGAAGGAAATTGGAGAGAGGGGGAGAAGAAGGAAATTGACGGGGGTAGGGGGAGAGATTGACATCCATCACACACACACACACACACACAATGCACCCCTAAAGCCATTGCAGAAAACACAGCCAAATGCACATACACAGACACACATACACACTCAATGCATCCCTTACAGATGCACACACTGCATCCCATACATACACAAACTCACCTTGCAGCCCTTACACATACAAACACAGATTCACACAATGCATTTCTTACACACATCAGGACATCCCCCCACACACACACCCCTGTGAACAAACTCATTGGTGGAACATGAAGGTGGACCCTGGGACCCAGACCTTGAGCTGTGTAAAGGACCCTCAAAAAAATGGAGCTGCTTCCCGTTCTCCCAGAACATTGATTTTTGTGACCACAGTTACAAACCGCCTCCAGAGAGCCTGTTCTACACCAGACCAGTGGAGCCAGACGGCAGCTAGAGCCCATCATCATCCTCATCTGGTTGTAAGTAGGCAATCTAGTATATTATTCGTGGCACTAATCTCTAATTTACCTCACATTAAAGGGACACTATAGTCCCCAGAACCACTGCAGCTTAATGTAGTGGTTCTGGTGTCTATAGCCTGTCCCTGCAGGCCTTTTATTGTAAACACGGCGGCACTGCAGCACTGTGTTAGTTAACATGGCAGATCATATGGGTGGGGCATTGTGATGTCTAGGGTGGCAAAAATCCTTGCACCGGCCCTGCAGACGCTGCATCCCTGTGGGCGGACTCGGGAGGGGGGCCCAGACCTTGAGCTGTGTCAGGGGCCCCAAAATTTCTGATGGCAGCCCTGCCCCCATGTCTCCCAGTGTCCCCAAGTGTCTCAGTGCCCCCATGTGTCTCAGTGTCCCCGGGTCTCTGTGTCCCCATGTCTCTCAATGTTCCCTAGTATCCTAGTGACACGGGACACACTGAGACATCGGGATACTGGGAGAAATGGGGACACAGACACTGGGAGACTAGGGGACTGGGTGACATAGGGACACGGACACTGTGAAATATAGGGACACTGATACCAGGCTGGCCTTCTAATTCTTTGGACAGACATGCCCCCTTTTTGTGCCTTTCCCACCCCCCACATTTGGTAGTTCTGGTCACGTGATTCGCGTCAGTGGCCCACCCTTTTACCTCGCCCATTGACTTCCTTCTTCACTGGACACTGCTGTTAGGGGGTATGGATTTACTTGAAAGATGAAAGCATAAATTAGAGAGAGATTAGCATAGAGTATGTGTTTTCTTATAGCTGCATCCTTTGAGTTTCCCTCCAACACTATCTCTATCAGATACATGACGCTCAAGAGGTATGACTGTTTTAGTGTTTTTGGTCGATAAGATTCTGTAATTAGGCCCCATCATAACTGTCAGCACCAGGCCCATTGAGCTCTTAATCTGTCCCTGTTTGTATGTATAAAGTATACCATCTTCTGCACTGTCTGCTTGTTTTTTTTTCTCCCTCTCCCCCCTCACTCTGATCTTCAGAAAGATATTGATGACCCTCTGCAAGAATGGTGTCTATTTTCTATAAACCTGTGTCTTATCGGCACTCAGGTCGCTTTAACTCCTGTAGTACAACTCAACTTTAAATTCTATGTGTCTTGTTCAGAAATGCTTCAGACTTGAGAAAGGGAGGTTCTCCCGAAAGCTTGTCATTAAAAAATTCTGTTAGTCCAATAAAAAAGGTATATCTGTTTTTTTAAATATATATATATATATATATATATATATATATATATATATATAACATATTTTATATATATATATATATATATATATATATAAAAACAAAAAGACAAAAAGATTCCTTGTACTCATGCTTTCTTGGTTAATGCCGGGTGCATAAGTCAGCTGGCTAATTCACATAGAATATCAGAAATGATGGCTGCACTCCTTGGTTTTCATTTAAAATCCAAATATCTTTATTGGGTATGCATTAAAAATAAGATATTTGGATTTTAAATGAAGATCGAGGAGTGCAGCCATCATTTCTGATATTCTACTGATATTTTACATGTTGGAAGGCCATTTGGCCTGAATTTGTGGAAGGAGTTAGGATCCTACCCCCCTACTTACCTTTGTCTTGCAAGCCGTTTGCCTCCAGTTACCTGCACTTCCGGTCGAGGTTCCTGACAAAACCTGCCTCGAGTATCCAGACCGTCGTTTACAGCTCCTGTCTCCGACCTCCGTGCTCGTCACCGGCTTCTAGCCGCCTTCGTTACTCGTTACCCGGCGTTCCGGCATCCGGTCACGAGACTGGCACCTACACGTGAGCACAAACGTGGGAAATGGCATTCAGCTATTTCCCATGTTCGGGCCTAAAAACGCAGGGATAGGCTCCCTTTATTACTTACCTGTTTCGTGCCTCACGCCGTTCGTGTACTTCTGCGTTCGTGCATCTAACAGCCGAACGCAGAGTTCACACATATCTTCATTTCTCATTCGTCTAAATTACAATGTACCAACCGCTCATTCTTACCCTACGTTCGGCTGTTTCACACGTTTGTACAGCCGAACACACTTACATACGGCTTTTTCATACAGCCTTTTCGTTTACTCAAACAGCCTGCAGTTGATTTATATGTTAAATTCCCTCTCACATGTTCATTTAGCCAAACGCGGGAGGTTTAAGCAGGCATTCTTTGTGAGTTGTGTATGTACCCCAGTATGTAAATTGTACTATAACTATTTCCTATTTCTTAATACACGTACAGTTTGATTCTTCTCCCCGTATACAACATATACAAGACTGTGTGGCACCATTTCCCAGCCCACCGTTACATTTAATTATGAGCAATTCCCGGCATTCTTCTGTTTCCACACAAGGGGAATCCTCTTAACCCCTTAAGGACCAAACTTCTGGAATAAAAGGGAATCACTACATGTCACACATGTCATGTGTCCTTAAGGAGTTAAAGGAACAGTTGGCCTGTTTTATACACTTTTATATCATTGGGCTAACCCACCGCCAACCCTCTTATTTTTCACTCAGCAGTAACTTAACTCCCCCCCACCCCCCCTGTTTTCCAGGCTCATTTCATACCAGTAATTCATACAGCAAATCTCTGTTCCTTAAATAAACTTTTTCTCTGGGTCCTCATACTTAGAATGCATATGTTTTAGGTTCATCTACTCTTCTTCAAGAAAAAATCTTCAGGAAGTGTTATCCAGTTTCCAGTTTCACGGTATCAGGTAAAAAGGTTTTCCCAATTTTACGTTTCTCCTTAGGCCTCATTCAGCCTCCATGGCCTTACGTAACCCCCCCACCTCCCAAAGTGGGTTCTAAACGTCTAAACACTTCAGGTTTAAGACACCTCACCAAGACACAAACTAGTCTCATAAACCTACACAACTGTGCTACTGTTATATTAACGTATCATTTTCTGTTTATCGTTTCTACATACAATTACTTAGACCTACTCAATTTCACGCAGATCCACTACGTTATCAACAACCAGCAGGTTACCCGGTCTCTGGCATTCAGTACCAGGTATTTTTATCTTTCTCATTACGATTACGTTCTCCTTCGGATCATTCAAAATGCACATCTCTAGGAACCCAGGGGCTTGTCTCTTCATATGGACCAACGTTCAGGTCCCTCAGCTTACTCGTGCTTACGTTACAGTGCCTCTGTTACACACTTACCCATACGTTCTACATGTTCACACTTGGCACCGGTGGCACGCCTCAGGCCCACTAGCATCTCCTTTTCCCTTAGGTTCTGGATCAAGCCCGTTTCCTGCAGAAGCAAATATAAAGCCATATTGAAGTCTCCCTGTGCTTTGTCCAAACAAACAGGACTTATACTCAAGGTTAGTATTTACATACGTACATATACATCATTGCAAGAGACAAGCCCCAGCAGTTCAGAGAACTGGCTGCTAGCTTTAGGTTCTGGCCTTAGCTATCAAATTAATACCAGGTCCCGCAAGGTCTACACCCCCACCTAATACACGGAGGTTTGGCCCACGTCCAAATCATAGTTAGCCAGGGCCTCCCAAGTGACGGCAACACATTTTGACTCTCTTCACGGTCACTGAGAGGCCTACACCCCGCCACCACATGCATGTGGCCACAAAATCCCCTTGGGCCAAATCATAGGTAGAGCCTCTCTCCACCACTTGGCACTAGCAGGCCTCACCTGTCACTTGGTCTAGGTAATCTTTTCGCCTCAGCACTAGCTAGCAGGCCAGTTCTCCGGAGGTATCACCTTCACCTCCTCTTCACCCTACTTATTCATAATCATTATTCCTTTTTTCAGATGTCACAAGAACCAATCACCCATCTATCATCGGACATCATACATCTCCGGAGAAATCCCTCACCCCTTTTACCCACAGGTCCCTGAGATACTGGACCATTCCAAAAATCTCAGCAGAGCTCAGAAGCGCCAGAAAGGCTGAACTATACAGGCTCATGACCACTCAGGCCAACGTTCCCAGGCCAGGCTGTAGTTCACAAATCCTGCCAGCTCACACTTCGGATTCCACACGAGACACCCTGGTCACTATACTCTCCAACCTCCACACGATAAATCACAGACTAGCGAAACTGGAATCCGCTATAGCCACACCAGGTGCCTTGTTGGGCTCGGCAAACCTTCTCCTGATGGTCTCAGCCATACCCACTCAATGCGTTTCCCCGGCCCACCCTGTCCCAGTGTCCATCAGAAAGGGCATTCTCAAAGGTAAAGACGTTAACTTCATGGCCCTACTGCTGACCTCCCAAATAATGCTCCGTACCATGACAGACACTTTCACGTCTCACCACCCCCTCACCCCACACACTAGTCAGGCTGGCAGAGAGAAACGCAGGACAGTCCCATTCCAATTCTGGGCAAGGCTCGGGTGTGCAGTGACTTTAATGCGGGGGTATGTAATCTCACGTCATGCGGAGCACTGCACGTCAGCTCCATATGCTTCAGGGCCCACACCAAGTCCACCTGCCCAGCTCTTCTGTCACCTAAGAAACACCTGACCGAGGTTAACATTGGCATCCTGTAATACTATCTCCAGTCACATCCAGCTAGGCACCTGGTAGATTATCTGGTGACGGGTTTTTCACAGGGGTTTCACACGGGCCTTATCGCTATCCCCACAGGTACTCTCGAATGCCCTAACCTTTTATCCGCTTCCACTGACCCACTCACGGTGGACCACCTTCTGTCTACTGAAATCACAGCCGGCTTTATGATCGGCCCTTTTCTGTCTTCACCTTTCTCATCTTGGCGTACCAATCCCATCGGTATAGCCATTCACAAATACTCCAACAAAAAAAGTTTAATTATCGATCTCTCCGCACCTCACTCTTCCTCCACTCTCAGTATCAACTTCCTTATTCCCGCCACGGAGTTCTTACTACAATTCACTAAAATTGATGATGCCATGAAAGCCATCTTATTAGCGGGTAGTGGGGCTTGGTTGAGCAAAACGGATATAACTAATGCCTTCAAACTACTACCTATTCACCCCTCACTATGGCACTTACACGTTGTTAAATGGAGAAACAGGTATTTTTTCACCACCTGGCTCACTTTTGGGTCTAGGAGCAGCTCCAAGTTATTCGATATCTTCGCAGAAACCCTCTGCTGGCTTCTCCTAAATGTACTCAGGTGCCCCTCTGTCATCCACTACCTAGATGATTTTCTATTGATAGAACCAGGTTCAAAATCCCCTCACTGTATACACTCCACCACAACTTTTTTCACGACACTTGGGGTCCCCTTGTCACCAAGCAAAACACTCGGTCCCTCCACCATGCTCGTTTTCTTGGGCATAGTACTCGACACCACTACCTTCCAAGTCAGTTTACCACCAGACAAGCTGTCCCACATTAGGAACGAGATTGTCCTATTCCTGCGGAGTGTTACGTGCACTAGGAGAGGCCTCCAGTCCTTATTGGGGTCCCTCAACTTTTCTATGCGTATCATTCCGAAGGGGAGGTCTTTTGTCTCCAGGCTTCTCAACTTGCTCCACGGTGTGCCCGACTCCTGTCCAATCTTTTTGGACGATCCGGCTAGGGCGGATTTACACATGTGGAGTAGTTTTCTGGCCGATTGGAATGGGGTCTCTTTATTCATTCCCCCACTTTCAGAGCATTCACCTTCGATTCACACAGATGCAGTGTGGCACACACAGGGTTCGCAGCCATCTACGGCAACCACTGGTTTAGGGACGACTGGCCCCCTGAAATGGATGCCTTGCCGGCCTTTATAGAAACATCTACTTTGTTTGAGATCTACCCCATCGTAGTGGCCGCCAACATATGGGGTCATCTTTGGACCGGCAAGGCAGTTAGATGCTTCTCCGACAACTCCGCAGCCTGTGACATCATTAACAGAGGTCGGTCCTCCTCGCTAACAATTATGAGGCTGATTCGCAGGTTGACGTGGTTGGCAGCTACCTCTGAGTTCTTCCTAGTCTGTATCCACATTCCTGGTGTCCACAACACAGCAGCTGACGCTCTTTCACGCTCCCAATTTAATGTCTTCATTCAGGCACTCCCCACGGCCCACCACCTAACATCCAGGATACCACCATTCCATGAGCTAATCTGGGACTAAGCACACAATTACACCTCGCACAGGTACGCATGCTTCATGCAGGCCACGACTTTCCCTTACTGTACGCCAGGGCTTTGTGTATTGCACCATGTCACAAGCAGAAGTTTGTTAAAGTTCAAGAACTTCGCTGTTATATTCATGGTAATTTTTGCCTTTTTCTCTAAGCTTACAAACCAAGCTTCTTACTTAAAACCTCCTGTGCTGTCACTCAGCTGTCACGTCTCCAAAGTCAAACACTCACAATCATTCCTAAATCCATTTCGTTACGTCTAACCCTTCCACTAAGCTTGAACATCATCATGTCTCCTCCGCTGGTCTCTTTTAGCAAGCACTACAGCAGCAGCTTCAAACACTTACACCCCAGTCTACATCACAAAGCGATGGAATCACAAGAAAGCATCAGCTCAGGTACTTTCATACCTTAATCAGAGTAAAGCTCCTTACAAGCTTTCGTTACTCATTCTGTATTAACTTGCAATAAAGTGTGTTTCTTTTAATCCTCTTTTGCCCTCTTTTTACAGGCCTACTCGTACGTTGGTTTCGGCACACCTCAACCAACTTTGCTTACCCTTCTACATTCCATTACGTATTAGATAAATTCAGAGCACAAATATATATATATATATATATATATATATATACAGGGCCAGATTAAGAGCTCAGTGGGCCTGGTGCTGACAATTATGATGGGGCCTAATTACAGAATCTTATCGACCAAAAACACTAAAACAGTCATACCTCTTGAGCATCATGTATCTGATAGAGATAGTGTTGGAGGGAAACTCAAAGGATGCAGCTATAAGAAAACACATACTCTATGCTAATCTCTCTCTAATTTATGCTTTCATCTTTCAAGTAAATCCATACCCCCTAACAGCAGTGTCCAGTGAAGAAGGAAGTCAATGGGCGGGGTAAAAGGGTGGGCCACTGACGCGAATCATGTGACCAGAACTACCAAATGTGGGGGGGGGGGGAAAGGCACAAAAAGGGGGCATGGGGTCACAGACACTAGGGACACAGATACATGGGGACACAGACACTGGAAGACATGGGGACAAAGACATTTGGTAAAACTAAGACACTAGAGACACTGAGAGACATGGAAACACAGACACTGGGAGACTAGGGGCCACTGGGAGACATGGGGACACAGAAACTAGCTGGAAAGCATGGGGACACAGATACTTGGGGACACCAGGAGACATGGGAGCATTTGTGGACATAGACATGGGGACACTGGGAGACATGGGGACACTAAAACATTTGGGGACACTGGGAGACATGGGGACACCCCAAGGTCATTTTTTTTTATGGGCCTATTCCATGGGCCTGGAGCTGCAGCTCCATCAGCCCCTATGTTAATCCGGCCCTGTATATATATATTCACACATACATATATAATTATTTATTTTGTAACAATTTTTTTTTTTTTACAGAAGCAGAGAGACTGCCTGTCAGGCAGATGCATGGATGCCTATTCAGAGCGATCACATGGCCCACGGGGTCTTAATTTGATGAGGGAGGACTGTCTGGGCTGTAACCAGGGCCGGACTGGCCCACCGGGATACCGGGAAATTTCCCGGTGGGCTGTCAGCACCTGGGGCCGGGCAGGCAGCTGGCTCACCTGCGGCCACAGAGGGAGCTGGCTGTTCTGTCTCGGCTCCCCCTCCCCAGCGCGCTAGAAAGAGACCGGTTCCGGAAGATGACGTCATATTCCGGCCCCGGTCTCATTAAGCGGCGCGCTGGGGAGGGGGAGCAGAAACAGAACAGCCAGCTCCCCCTGCAGCCGCCTAAAGAGCTCCCCACAGGTAGACATTGTGTGTGTCAGTGAGAGTGTATGTGTGTGTGTCTGTGTCATTTGTGTGTGTGTCTGTCTGTGTCATGGTGTGTGTGTGTCTGTGTCATGGTGTGTGTGTCTGTCTGTCATGGTGTGTGCGTCTGTCTGTGTCACGGTCTGTCTGTGTCATGGTTTGTGTGTGTGTGTTTGTCATGGTGTGTGTGTTTGTCATGGTGTGTGTCTGCCTGTGTCATGTAATGTGTGTCTGTGTCACGATCTCTCTGTGTCGTGGTGTGTGCCTGTGTGTCATGGTGTGTCTGTCTGTGTTTATTTTTCCCTGCCACTAAACCCAAGAAGAATGGGGAAAGTAACAGTATCATTGTGCTGGCCCCCGCGTGAGGTACAGTGAGGGAAAAAAGTATTTGATACGCTGCTGATTTTGAACAAATGCCTACTGACAAAGAAATGATCAGGCTATAATTTTAATGGTAGGTGAATTTTAACAAATAAAAAAATAACAAAAAATAAAATACAGAAAAAAGTTATAAATTGCTTTGCATGTCAATGAGTGAAATAAGTATTTGATACCTTCGACTTAGTACTTGGTGGAACACCCTTGTTGGCAATCACAGAGGTCAGACATTTCTTGTAGTTGGCCACCAGGTTTGCCACATCTCAGGAGGGATTTTGTCCCACTCCTCCTTGCAGACCCTTTCTGCAAGTCGTTAAGGTTTCAAGGCTGATGTTTGGCAACTCAAACCTTCAGCTCCCTATACAGATTTTCTATGGTTTGGAGACTGCCTAGGCCACTCTAGGACCTTAATGTGCTTCTTCCTTTGTTGCTTTGGCTGTGTGTTTTGGGTCATTGTCATGCTGGAATACCCATCTGCGACCCATTTTCAATGCCAGGGCTGAGGGAAGGAGGTTCTCACCCAAGATTTGACAGTACATGGCCCTGTCCACCGTCCCTTTGATGCGGTGCAGTTGTCCTGTTCCCTTAGCAGAAAAACACTCCCAACACATAATGTTTCCACCTCCATGTTTGACGGTGGGGATTGTGTTCTTGGGGTCATAGGCAGCATTCCTCCTCCTCCAAACACGACAAGTTGTGTTGATGCCAAAGAGCTCGATTGTGGTCTAATCTGACCACAACACTTTCACTAAGTTCTCCTCTGAATCATTCAGGTGTTCATTGGCAAACAGGCCTGTACAAGTGCTTTCTTGAGCAGGGGGACCTTGCGGGCACTGCAGGATTTTAGCGTACTGTGTTACTAAATGTTTTCTTTGTGACTATGGTCCCAGCTGCCTTGAGATCATTATCAAGATCCTCCCATGTAGTTCTGGGCTGATTCCTCAACGTTCTTGTGATCATTGAAACTCCACGAGGTGAGATCTTGCATGGAGCATCAGACCGAGGGAGACTGACAGTTATTTTATGTTTATTCCATTTGCGAATAATTGCACCAACTGTTGTCACCTTCTCAACAAGCTGCTTGGTGATGGTCTTGTAGCCCATTCCAGCCTTATGTAGGTCTACAATCTTGTCCCTGACATCCTTGGACAGCTCTTTGGTCTTGACCATGGTGGAGAGTTTGGAATCTGATTGATTGCTTCTGTGGACAGGTGTCTTTTATACAGGTAACAAGCTGAGATTAGGAGCACTCCCTTTAAGAGAGTGCTCCTAATTTTAGCTCGTTACCTGAATAAAAAACGCCTGGGAGCCAGAAATCTTGCTTATTGATAGGGAATCAAATACCTATTTCACTCATTGACATGTAAATCAATTTATAACTTTTTTGACATGCGTTTTTCTGGATTTTTGTTTTTGTTATTCTGTCTCTCACTGTTAAAATACACCTACCGTTAAAATTATAGACTGATCATTTCTTTGTCAGTGAATAAACGTTCAAAATCAGCAGGGGATCAAATACTTTTTACCCTCACTGTAATTACCAAAGAAAAAGTTACCTGCATTCTCTCCTAAATCCCTATGTATATTTAAACAAATGGAGGTCATTTAGTTACTCCAATGGTCATTTGATGGAATGCCCGCCTGTCACCATCAAGGCAGATCCCCTAGGCGGGTCCTACAGTGACCTTTCACCTTGCTTCCTTACGCTTCTGGCAAAGATATCTCCACTGAGACAGAGAGGGGTATTTTTTTTATATACCATGCCATTCAGACTGCAAGGTGTGGCCAGCCCCCAGGTGTCTCTAAGGGGATTTGAACTGTGGTCCTCTGTGTCCTAATCCTGCTGTCTTACTTCAGTTCTTGTATCAGCATGATGTTTATCCTTGCCTTGTCTCCAGCACTGGGGGTTGGACTTTACCTGTGGCTGCTCCTGTCAATCTCAGTCCACCTGAAGCAGATGTCTAATTAGCCAGGCATAAGACACTGCCTCCCCGTGAGGGCAGTGTCAGTTCATTGACTCTGGTTCCTGTATTTGTGATCTAGTGTTCTCCAGTCAGCTCCTGACCTTGGCTTTTTCTTATCGTGTGTCCTGGCATCCTCTGACTTTGACTTATCCTGGTTTATCCTGACTTCTGGCATCCTCTGACTTTTGGCTTACCCTCGACAATTCTCCTGCTCTTGTCCTTGCCTGTACTGCGACTTGGAGCACAGCCCCCATGCACAAACTCACAGGCCAGGTGAATTCTTACCTGACCACCTTGACCCATGTTTATTCCACGGGTGAGCATAAATCTCTGCATACCAGACTCCACATCAGGTAAGATCCTGAGACATACTTTGGCCTAAACTTAGATTTACCCCTCCCCCAAAAAATAACAAACATTCAATGAACTCAAATACTAAGTTTTACCCTACTGTAGACCTAAACCCAATAATCCTAATCACCCCTTATACCACCACTATAACCTCTCTCAAGCTTTAAATTCCCCTAACAACCTATGTATTCTAACCCTGAAATTCACCCTTCTCTTACCTTAAAGGATTACTCCAACCACCATGACCACTTTAGTTATTTGAAGTGGTTATGCTGGTAAGAGTATGTAAGTTTGCTGTTTCTGCTTGAAACACGGCACAAACTGAGTTATTGGCAATTGTGTGCTGGGGGCTAGTTGCACCAACAGCACAGGGGACTGAGCTACCTAATGTAAATTCTGTTCTCTAACTTTTGCACCTGTTGCCAGCCATCCCTCTTATTTCTCTCCCTCCCACTGTGTGCAGCCTCCCTGCAATGCACACATGTGTTTTTTCTTTTCTTTTTTTTTTTTCTACTCCTTTATGTGAACCCTGTGATAGGAGATAGGAGAGCACGAGTCCCATGTGACGTCAGGCATGGAAGTCAGCGCCAAGAGCATTGCCCAGGGCAGGATTCCGGGTAGATAAAATACCTTTTTTTTTTTTTCTTTTTTTTTTTGCGGCTTATTCTGCAAATGGAGGGGGGACTTTATTCATAATGCCCAATAGGGCTTTTTACACATCCTCTAAGGGTTGTAGTAATCCTTAAACCTCTCTTTACCCTAAGCATTCTAACATTATCTTCAAACCAGCATGTATTTACAGAACTGCATAAACTCACTCATAGATATTGGGAATATGCACAAATATATAGACATTTGCAATTGTCAAAAGAAAAACAACAATTGTGTGTGTATGTATGTATGTATGTCATTTTTATGCCTGTAATATCCAGTTAATGAATTTTATATAAATCACTTTATCTTCCTTTTTGGGGGGAGGGAACTGGGAGCACCTTAGAATTCTGTGAATACAGGTACCTGACATGTAAATCCAGCCCTGT